CCGAAATTTAATGTTAGTGTCAAGCTTGATGAAGTTGTCGCGGTCTGAGTTTGTCTAGCGTTGAGCTGTAAATAAAATTGAAGATTGTGGTGCGCACTGCACTTGTTTACTTCTGTAAGTTAAGACTTGCTGTAAGTCCAATCGTTACTTTCACTTGTTTCTTACCCCTGGCACATTTAACGAATGCTTCGCGGTTAACTTTGATGTGTATGTGTGTGTGTGCGCAATTTTCCTTTCAAATTCTAGTTTACAGTATTTTTTCCTCTGGTTCTCACTACATGTTCTTCAGTGTTGTGTTAGTCTACCTGTGCACTCACTCACGGTTGTAGCTTATTGCAAATAATGGATTCATCATTCAAGCTGATACCATATTATTCTCTACTTTTACCTCTATTGGTGTACTGTCCCATTATTCGTAATTTAGTTATTTAACTCGTTACATATTACCTCTAAGTTGTTTGTAAACACAAGTTCACTGGCTTACACTACTGACATTTTATAACGGTGTATAGAGTTCAAAAGTTAGTATGAAGTTGCATTACTTCTGTGGATCTCGAAGTGTACTGTGGACGTGATGATCCTGTACCCGCGAGTTAGGTTACGATCGAGGTTCTTGAACCAGAGGTTTGGTAAGCTGGCGGAGGAGGGAGGATAAGTAAGGACGGAATGTTGAAAAAATGGTGGGTGGGGGGTGAGGAGGTGGGTAATAAAGGTAAGGTCTCACTCATGCGAGTATTTACAAACAAATCCACGATCTGACCCATGACTGAATTCCCTACCTTGCTGCGTCATCATCATATCCCAAACCATTAAGTCCTTCAACCAGGACTTAATCACATACGTGATTACGAATACATTTTTTAAAGCGCTAAACACGTGTGTCACACACCTGGGTTGCACTCGGCGATACTGGTAATTGTTACACACTTCATTTACGCCGTTAGTTATAATCTGTGAAAAGTGATTTGTCTGCGAGTTTTGTTATTTTCTTGAGCTAGAAATTGATGGGAATCAAGCGCAGTGTTCTCACATGACAGCCAAGGTTGTCAGCAGTGTTCTCAAGATGACAGCCAAGGTTGTCAGCAGTGTTCTCAAGATGACAGCCAAGGTTGTCAGCAGTGTTCACATGATGACAGCCAATGGCTGTCAGAACACTGTTCTCACAACATTACAACCAAGGTTGTCAGCACAGTGTCCTCAGATGACGACAGCCAAGGTTGTCAGCACAGTGTTCTCACGTGACAGCCAAAGTAGTCAGCACAGTGTTCTAAGATGATGACAGCCAAGGTTGTCAACAAAATGTTCTTACATGACAACCAGGTCGTTAGCACAGTGTTTACACAGTAAGTGCTCACACTAACAATCAACATTGTCAGCACAATTTGCATATATTGCTCCCAGTATCTCTCAAGATACAAGCACGCAGAGTTGACCTTAATCCCAATTATCCCACATTAGGGATTAAAGTACACTTGACGGGTGGTGAACTGATAACATCCAGTCCTTAATGACCCTCCTGTGTCGACAGGCTTTAAACAAATAACCAGCCTGACCAACGTGGTCTTGCAACAAACCAAGACTTTCACATGTCAAGCCAAGCCTGAATCTGTTATTATTTACTGAATCGCGAACATCTCAATCAAGAACTTGTGATATCAATCTACAGCAGCCATCTTGGTGAGGTGATCCTAGAGTGATGGAAGGAAGGAGGGAGGGAGGGAGGGATTCTGCTCCCTCTCCACTCCTTTTGAATGCTCTTCCCTTTTTATCGCCCTCACCTATTGAATATTCTTACTCTCCCCATTTCCCCACCCACACTCGACTCGTGAATGCCCCTCCCTCCCCAGAAATGAGAGACCCCCCACCCTCCACACACGCACCTCATAAAAAACCGATGGGGATTTAAGGAAATGTAAGGCATGGACATGACTGGAGAAAGGGACTACATAGGTACAATTCAGTCTGGAGAACATAAAGTAGTCAATGGAGTGATGTATAACCCACCACAGAACTGCAGGAGGCCAAGAGAGGAGTACGAAGAAAACAGCGATGGTGGACACACTGGCTGAGGTGGCAAGAAGAGCTCATTCGAGCAGAGCAAAGTTACTGGTAATGGGCGATTTCAACCACAGGGAGATCGACTGGGAAAACCTGGAGCCACATGGGGGTCCCGAAACATGGAGAGCCAAGATGATGGATGTGGTATTTGAAAACCTCATGCATCAACATGTCAGGGACACTACCAGAGAGAGAGAGAGAGAGAGAGAGAGGAGAGGAAGAGAGAGAGAGAGAGAGAGAGAGAGAGAGAGAGAGGAAGAGAGAGAGAGAGAGAGAAAAGAGAGAGAGGAGAGAGAGAGAGAGAGAAGAGAGAGAGAGAGAGAGAGAGAGAGAGAGAGAGAGAGAGAGAGAGAGAGAGAGAGAGGAGAGAGAGAGGAGAGGAGAGGAGGAGAGAGAGAGAGAGAGGAGAGGGGGGGGGGGGGGGGGGGAGGATGAGCCAGCAAGACTGGATCTTGTGTTCACCCTGAGCAGTTCAGACATTGAGGACATCAATTACGAGAGGCCCCTTGGAGCTAGCGATCATGTGGTTCTGAGTTTTGATTATATAGTAGAGCTACAAGTGGAGAAGGGAACATGAATTGAATGGGAAAAGCCAAACTACAAAAGGGGTGACTACACACGTATGAGGAACTTCCTGCAGGAGGTTCAGTGGGACAGAGAACTGGTAGGAAAATCAGTAAACGAGATGATGGAATATGTAACAACAAAGTGCAAGAAGGCAGAGGAAAGGTTTGTTCCCAAGGGAAATAGAAATAATAGGAAGACCAAAGTGAGTCCTTGGTTTACCCGAAGGTGTAGGGAGGCAAAAACTAAGTGCACCAGAGAATGGAAAAGGCACAGGAGGCAAAGGACTCAGGAAAATAAGGAGATTAGTAGAAGAGCCAGAAACGAGTATGTGCAGATAAGGAGGAAGGCCCAGCGACAGTACGAGAACAACACAGAATCGAAAGTCAAGACTGACCCAAAACTGCTGTATAGACACATTAGGAGAAAGACAACAAAGACCAGGTGATAAGGCTGATGAAAGAAGGTGGGGGAACTCACAAGAAACTATCAAGAAGCATGCGAGGAGCTCAACAGGAGATTTAAGTATTTACAGTGGAGACAGGAAGGCCTCTGGGGGGACAGAACAGATGGGGACACCAGCAAGGAATATACCAACAAGTGTTGGATGACATACATACAAATGAGGAAGAGGTGAAGAAGCTGCTAAGGGACATCGATACCTCAAAGGCAATGGGACCGGACATCTCCTCCCCGTGGGTCCTTAGAGAGGGAGCGGATATGCTGTGTGTGCCACTTACCATAATCTTCAACACATCCCTGGAAACTGGGCAACTACCGGAGGTATGGAAGATGGCAAATGTAGTTCCCATTTTTAAAAAAGGAGACAGAAAAGAGGCACTAAACTACAGACCTGTGTCACTGGCGTGTATAGTATGCAAAGTTATGGAGAAGATTATCAGGAGGAGAGTGGTGGAGCACCTGGAACGGAACAAGAGTATAAACACCAACCAGCATGGATTCATGGAAGGCAAATCCTATGTCACAAACCTTCTGGAGTTTTATGATAAAATAACAGATGTAAGACACGAGAGAGAGGGGTGGGTTGATTACATCTTCTTGGAATGCAAGAAGGCCTTCGACACAGTTCCTCACAAGAGATTAGTGCAGAAGCTAGAGGATCAGGCGCATATAACAGGAAGGGCACTGCAATGGATCAGAGAATACCTGACAGGGAGGCAACAACGAGTCATGGTACGTGATGAGGTATCACAGTGGGCACCTGTGACGAGCGGGGTCCCACAGGGGTCGGTCCTAGGACCAGTGCTATTTTTGGTATATGTGAACATGATGGAAGGGTTAGACTCAGAAGTGTCTCTGTTCGCAGATGATGTGAAGTTAATGAGGAGAATTAAATCAGATGAGGATCAGGCAGGACTTCAAAGAGACCTGGACAGACTGGACACCTGGTCAAGCAACTGGCTTCTCGAATTTAACCCCGCCAAATGCAAAGTCATGAAGATCGGGGAAGGGCACAGAAGACCGCTGACGGAGTATAGGCTAGGTGGCCAAAGACTGCAAACCTCACTCAAAGAGAAAGATCTTGGGGTGAGTATAACACCGAGCATGTCTCTGGAAGCACACATCAACCAGGTAACTGCTGCGGCATATGGGCGCCTGGCAAACCTGAGAACAGCGTTCCGATACCTTAGTAAGGAATCGTTCAAGACACTGTACACAGTGTACGTCAGGCCCATACTGGAGTATGCAGCACCTGTTTGAAACCCGCACTTGATCAAGCACGTCAAGAAATTAGAGAAAGTGCAAAGGTTTGCGACAAGGTTAGTTCCAGAGCTAAGGGGAATGTCCTATGAAGAAAGGTTAAGGGGAAGCGGCCTGACGACACTAGAGGACAGGAGGGTCAGGGGAGACATGATAACATATAAAATACTGCACGGAATAGACAAGGTGGACAAAGACAGGATGTTCCAGGGAGGGGACACAGAAACAAGAGGTCACAATTGGAAGTTGAAGACTCAGATGAGTCAAAGGGATGTTAGGAAGTATTTCTTCAGTCATAGAGTTGTCAGGCAGTGGAATAGCCTAGAAAGTGACGTAGTGGAGGCGGGAACCATACATAGTTTTAAGACGAGGTTTGATAAAGCTCATGGAGCAGGAAGAGAGAGGACCCAGTAGCAACCAGTGAAGAAGCGGGGCCAGGAGCTAGGACTCGACCCCTGCAATCACAAATAGGCTAGTACAAATAGGCGAGTACACACACACACAGGTATGATAAAGCTCATGGAGCAGGGAGTGTGGACCTAGTGGCGACCAGCGAAGAGGCGGGGCCAGGAGCTCTGAATCGACCCCTGCAACCACAATTAGGCGAGTATACATACACACACACACACACACACACACACACACGTGAGACTGACCTGGGAGTCTGGTGGTCATTGTCAGTCAGTTCGAGGTCACCACCAGCATCCACCAGCAGACGGAGCACCCTACGAGAGCCACGGTAGCAGGCACCATGCACGGGGGTGGCACCCTTCAGGCCACACCGACGGTTGGGGTTGGCACCCAGCCGTAGTAACAGTGGCACCACCTCACTGTCACCGCCAAAGGAGGCGCAGAAGAGCGGTGTCTGCCCGTGTGAGTTGACGCTCTCGATGTGAACACCTGTCAGAGAGAGAGAGAGAGGACAAGATTAGTCGACTTTTATACAACAAATAGTTTATCAAACTATCAAGACCTGTTACTACTGCAGCTTTGTGATCCGTACCTTTGTGTTTCCCCTCTTCGTATATTTCAGGTACAGTAGTGTGCAAATTAATTGGGACAGTAAATTTTGATTATCTCATAATATGTGTTAGAGTTATTTTCTTTTCAGAAGAGTTTGCTACCGACTTCTGGCAACCCTCCTGCTGTGGTGTTACCCTGCGACTCTTGTTAGTGCTACAGCAGTTCTGTAAGGCTATTCCTCCAAGCGTGCTCCATGAGTAAATGTGGTTTTGCCAAATTCTCCCTTCCAATTCACGATTACTGCTAAAATTCATGATGGATGTTGCACCAAGGAAGCGTGCAAGTACTGTAGCTCTTAGAAAACATGCTGATTTGAGTAACAGACAGATCACCAAAATTTGAGCCTAGCAAAGTCAACTGTTAGTCGGATTCTGAAGAGAGCTGACGACACTGGTGATTGTGGAGCGCTGCATCAAGGAAAATGTGGAAGAAAAGACAGCACCTCGCGATGACAATGTTATAAGAAATAGAGTAAGGATCTCAAGAAAACCAGCAAAAATCAACAGATATATCTGGCTTCAGCAGGCGTAAATGCTGATTTTTCAACTGTTCAACGAAGGCTCCTTGAAGTTCGCAGAACTGCCAGAAAGCCGGTAAAGAAACAATTATTGACTGCTGCTACGAAGAGAAAATAGCTTGTGGCGGCCACTCGATCGTAAGGGATAGACGACAAATGAATGGAAAAGATGTATATTTTCAGATGAGGCGCATTTTGAAGTACCCGGGTACAGATCAGTGGTAGTGAGACGGAACAAAGGCGAACCTCTTCGGAATGGATATATTCAACAAGCGCCAAAACACCCACCCAAGATGTTTTGGAGCAGTTTTACTGCTAAAGGCCCCTGGAAGGCTCGTTATTGTTGAGCGAACGATGAGCAATGACAAATACAAGGCAATCCTGGCAACTAATTTGCTTCCCATTGTGGATATTTTCCTGAAGGAGAAGGCAGTTTTTCAGCAGGATCTTGCTCCATGCCACACTTCCAGAAAAATGCTGACATTCTTCGAAGAGATTAGGCTAAGCGTTCTAAATTGGCCTGGAAACTCTCCCGACTTCAATCCAATTGAGAAGAACTTGCCAAAATGTGTTCAACATTGGTCGATTCTGTGTCAAAGTGTGTAGCAATGATTATGAAAGCAAAGGGTAGTCATACCTCTTATTAAATCAATTATATGCCATAACAATGCTATGTATTTGTCAAATAAACATTAATTTTCAAATAAATGCCTTAATTCATCACTGTCCCAATTAATACGCTCACTACTGTACATAAATGAAAAACTCGCAACTACACATACCCTTTCAAGACACTTTTCCTTTCCCTCTCGCCTTCCATCACATTATTATTATTATAATCAAGGGGGAAGCGCTAAACCCGTAGGATTATACAGCGCCCAGGGGGGGGGGATGTGGAAGGCACTCAGGCTTAATTCGGGGAACTGGAGCACAGATCCAATTCCCTAAATCAAGAGCCCCTCACCAACATCAAGGAACCTTCCATGAGGGGACCTTCCATCACAGCTTTCCTAGGTTACCTTCCTCCCTCTCATGGACACACTCACACCTGTATTGCCCTCTCTATCCTTGCCCACACAGCACCACCCACACCACGAGGAGGCGAGGTGCCCACCCACACCACGAGGAGGCGAGGTGCCCACCCACACCACAAGGAGGCGAGGTGCCCACCCACACCACAAGGAGGCGAGGTGCCCACCAACATCACGAGGAGGCGAGGTGCCCACCAACACCACGAGGAGGCAAGGTGCCCACCAACACCACGAGGCAAGGTGCCCACCAACACCACGAGGAGGCAAGGTGCCCACCAACACCACGAGGAGGCAAGGTGCCCACCAACACCACGAGGAGGCAAGGTGCCCACCAACACCACGAGGAGGCAGGTGCCCACCAACACCACGAGGAGGCAAGGTGCCCACCAACACCACGAGGAGGCAAGGTGCCCACCAACACCACGAGAGGCAAGGTGCCCACCAACGCCACGAGGAGGCAAGGTGCCACCAACGCCACGAGGAGGCAAGGTGTCACCAACGCCACGAGGAGGCAAGGTGCCCACCAACACCACGAGGAGGCAAGGTGCCCACCAAACACCACGAGGAGGCAAGGTGCCCACCAACACCACGAGGAGGCAAGGTGCCCACCAACACCACGAGGAGGCAAGGTGCCCACCAACACCACGAGGAGGCAAGGTGCCCACCAACACCACGAGGAGGCAAGGTGCCACCAACACACGAGGAGGCAAGGTGCCCACCAACACCACGAGGAGGCAAGGTGCCACCAACACCACGAGGAGGCAAGGTGCCCACCACACCACGAGGAGGCAAGGTGCCCACCAACACCACGAGGAGGCAAGGTGCCCACCAACACCACGAGGAGGCAAGGTGCCCACCAACACCACGAAGAGGCAAGGTGCCCACCAACACCACGAGGAGGCAAGGTGCCCACCAACACCACGAGGAGGCAAGGTGCCTCACCAACACCACGAGGAGGCAAGGTGCCCACCAACACCACGAGGAGGCAAGGTGCCCACCAACACCACGAGGAGGCAAGGTGCCCACCAACACCACGAGGAGGCAAGGTGCCCACCAACACCACGAGGAGGCAAGGTGCCCACCAACACCACGAGGAGGCAAGGTGCCCACCAACACCACGAGGAGGCAAGGTGCCCACCAACACCACGAGGAGGCAAGGTGCCCACCAACACCATGAGGAGGCAAGGTGCCCACCAACACCATGAGAGGCAAGGTGCCCACCAACACCATGAGGAGGCAAGGTGCCCACCAACACCATGAGGAGGCAAGGTGCCCACCAACACCATGAGGAGGCAAGGTGCCCACCAACACCACGAGGAGGCAAGGTGCCCACCAACACCACGAGGAGGCAAGGTGCCCACCAACACCATGAGGAGGCAAGGTGCCCACCAACACCATGAGGAGGCAAGGTGCCCACCAACACCATGAGGAGGCAAGGTGCCCACCAACACCATGAGGAGGCAAGGTGCCCACCAACACCATGAGGAGGCAAGGTGCCCACCAGCACCACGAGGGAGGGGAGGGGGAAGCAAGGTGGCCGAGCACGTGGGGAGGGGAGAAATTAAGGATACAAGGGGAAGAGAGAAGACAAATAATGGAGCTGTACTTACTATTCAAGAAAGTAGGAAAGTTTCTGAGGCGACTGAACCAAAGGCAACCATGCCAGGGTGAGCTGTTGCTGCCGCTCCTGCTGCTGCAGCTACAACAGCAGCAGCAACAATAGTTACAACAGCAGCAAGTTGAAACAGTAGCAACAACAGCAGCAGCAGCAGCAGCAGCTACAACAGCAGGAACAACGGTAACAGCAGCTAAAACAGCAACAGCATCTATAGCAGCAACAGGAACAGCAACAGCAGTTACAACAGCGGCTACAGCTACAACAGCAACAACAATAGCAGCAGCAGCAACAGGAGCAGTAGTGGGAACAAGGAAGCAGACCAGTAAACAGGAACAAATGTAAAAAAGAATGAAGGCAAATAAAAAAACATGAGTGAACGTGTGTAGAGAAAGTCGAAGACGAGTGAGAGGGAGGGATGAGAGGGAGGGGTAAGAGGGAGGGGTAAGAGGGAGGGGTAAGAGGAGGGGTAAGAGGGAGGGTAAGAGGGAGGGGTAAGAGGGAGGGGTTAGAGGGAGGGGTAAGAGGGAGGGGTAAGAGGTAGGGGTAAGAGGGAAAGGTGAGGAGGAGTGAGAGGGAGTCGTGAGAACAAGTGAGAGGGAGGAAAGGATTGTGTACACAGGTAAGAGCAAGCTGGAATGAAGTAAACAGACAGGTGAGAGTAAACACTGGAGTACAATAACACCCAACACCCACCCAACACACCCCACCCCACCCACCCAGCACACCCAACATCTCGTCTTGAAGCCTCCTCTCCCACGCCCGTGAAAGCTGCTCAAACTTGCCTTTGTGAAGACTGTGAAAGAGAAGAGGAAGAGAGGAGTGGAAAGAGAAGAGGAAGAGAGGAATGGAAAGATAAGAGGAAGAGAGGAGGGGAAGGGAGAGAGGGAGGGCAACTAGGGTTAGAACAGAAGTGTGGGAGGGGCGGGAACTGAGGGTAAGGAAGGGGGAGGGAAGGAGATGGAAGGCGAGGTAAACTGATAAGGGGAGACAAAAAAAGGGGGACAGATGAAAAAGGGAAAGAGAAGAGGGGGAGAGGTAAATAAGAGAAGGGGGTAGACAGGCATGGGCCAGAGGTTAACGCCTATGTAACCATCAGAGTAGGACAGTAGCAACATATTACTGTTACTACCACTATGTAAACAACTCGGCAAAACACTGCTGTTGCTATGTACACAACTATCATAATCGTATAGAATAAGATACCAGCACACTGTTAATTGAAATAATTTTGCTAAACATATAAAAAAAACATTACTTCTCTAGGGCAGGGGAGTGGCCAGCACACCCCGGGAAGGTGTCAGTCTGTCATGTTACGCTGATGGATAGCTGGAGCTTCGTATTACAAATTTTCTTAAACGTTTAAAACATCACACGGACAGAGTCCTGAAGGGGAGACAGAATACTTGTATAATTCTAAACAGTAAACAGCAACACCCGTCTATCCAAACAGGTGTGTTGTGTGTCAGGTGTCCCCCAAAAATCTCATTTATCGCGTGATGCATAATAAAAATAACTTTAAATTTAAAAAGACCCGGCGCTAACGACCCGAAAAAGATATCCCGGCACTGCAAACTCCTGTCCTTTTCCACAATGCATGTAACGAAAAAATGCAAAGGGTAAAATTTGTGGTGCAGGAAAATACAAAAATGACGACGTAAAAAGCAACCGGGAGAGGTATTCGTAAATAATCCACGGAAAATACCCCCAATTT